TGGTTATTTCTGATAAAGAGGCATTAAATAATTTAGAAAAAGTGATTCAATATTTAAAAAATCCACCAGATAATTTTACAATTAGCTATCAAAAATTAAAAATGATTAATGGTTTAAAATCAAAAATTCATAAACATATTCAGGATAATGCAAAACAACTTACAGTAGACAGAGTTTTATTTAATAATAATTTATTTATTTTACTACGTATATATGTTATGCATGAATTTATTTGTGTTCCTAATAAAAAAAAATTTAGTCTCGTTATATGAGACTTTTCAATTTGTCTATAATAAGTCCATTATAAAGAGATTTTTCTTTATAGTAGAAATTCGTTATAGTGCACAAAAATGCCTGGAACCAAATTTCCACTATAACGAGCTTTGACTGTAATATGAAAATTGGTACACAGTGAATCTCGATTTAGCGGATACTAATTAAAAATCTCAGTTTTACGGATAAAGTTCAAAGAACGGTTTCATAATAAACCTTAATAAAAACCTTCTCGATATAGCAGATATCTCGGTTTAACAGATTTTTGGAAAATTTTCCCTAATTGCCCAAACTATCCATTAATCGAGATTCACTGTGTAAATACAAAATTTCATGTGATGATCAGCCAATCAAATGGATTTTCAATCATGCTTTGGTGAAACGCCAACATTTATTTTCTTGTCGCGTACCAAAAATTTTTTGAAGAAGGTATGATAAAGTTTTACATTTTTATTTTTACATAATAGCCTAAATATCACATATAAACACAAGAAAAATCCAGTCTTTGCATTATCATCATAAATGATTGGTATACTTTTGTCAATAAATAAGAAATGTCAAAGGAAAAAGACAACATGGCTATGGAGATCCCTCTCTCTCTCACACATATGGAAACCTGCACGAACTTGGACAATCTGGAAACACAAAATAATTCAATATACAGCATTTGGAAACTTTTAGATGTTGAAATATATTGTTCAAACAATTATTCTTATATTCCTCGAGAATGTACAAAAGGCTAAGCTTACCTCCCCCCCCCCCCCCCCCGATGATAATATGATGCAAGTAATTCTCAGGGGTGGGGAGTGGGGCCCTAAGGTTGCATGAATTTGTATCATTGTCAAAGAGACTGCTAAAGCCGGTGTTTGCCATTGATGATTTGTGAAAAATTATTAATTTAAAAAAAAAAGATCTCTCATTATCTTGGCTGATTAATGACTAATTGCCAACACTGGCTAAAGCTTTCACCTGTCCAAAGCCTTCAAATGTTTGGGAGCCTTCGTCTGTGAGAAAAAGTTCCATGGTCATGCTGGACTCAACTTCAATGTTTGATAGACAGTGTTGTGACCCGAAACTCTGAGTTTAGGAAAAACCAGAAACAGTAACTAACAGAAACCACCCGAAACTAGTTTAGGTTAGTAGTTTATGTTTGTGTTTAGGTTTAGGTTTAGATTTCTGCTTAGTGTAAGTTCATTTTCCGAAACGTTTCGGGAAGCCAAAAGAGTTTCTGGTCACAACACTGTTGATAGAGAAATTTTATTAAATCTGCACCCATTATAACATTAGTCAGATTTATTTTTTGTGAATGGTCACTAGTAAAGGTCACACCTGATGAACCAACTTACACAACATCTACAACACATGTGCACAAAAAGGGGAGACTTCACCACTAAACATTTTCCACTGCCATTATCTTACATGGAAAGAAATCACAGGTTAAAATCAGCAAAAACATCATGGGTTTTTATTTATTCTCCACCTTTCAGTATCATTCATTTTTAAGGACAATGGAAGTTACTACCCTCTCAGATTTTCTCATTTTGTTTGTCAGGGCATTTATGTGACTTTACCAAAACTGGTTCCTTAAAAGTTCATTTCTGCATGGTCATAGGTGGGCCATGGGGTGTTTTCGTGGGGATTTGCAAAGAGATATACGTTTCTATTGTGGTGGAATAGAAAGAAAAGAAGACCCTAGAAAATATCGTGAATTTTTAACAGATCGTGATAGGCTGGTTGGTGAAGAGTTATTACGTTGCGGAATACTAAAGAGTGGTTTAAGCACTGCATGGCTCAATGATCTTATGGAGGACTGGAATAAAATTTATAATCAATTCATACAAGTTTTCTCTTCAAATGAAATTGGAATCGAAGGCATAAAACTTACTCGCGCCAATTATAATATTGAAATAATTCTAAATCATGTATTTATGTGGCCGATTCAATATATGCATAAATTTTTTTTTCGTGTAATGTATATATGATCGACAAAAAAACTTTACTAGAGCTAGGTGATGATTATGGAGATGCAGGTTATTACTACGATCTAGGCTCAAAGAGCCATTGCAAAGCGAGGGACCTATAAAAGTTCATATATAGGGTGTTTTGCATGATTTATTCCACAAATCATTATCTATAGAATATAACAAGCATAAATCGCGCATATTTTTTTCTGAAAAATTTATTATTACTCATAGGTTCGAAAAAGATATATAGTGAAGCTAGTATCGAAGACACTTAGTTATCCGGTCAAAGATATATATTGTTAACTATAATTTTCTAGGTGCGAATTGATTCTGTTTTTTTGAAAGTATAGTTTCATCTAATTTGCGTAGTACATAATACTCCATAGTATATTGAAAAGTAGAATAATTATTTAAGAAATATATTATTATTCGCAATGCCTAAAAAATTTTTTTGAATGGTGCAATATGCCTACAATACGGTTTATTTATTTGATAAGCAGTTCACACTGCATTTACAGAGGTGCATAATTAAAAAACAAATATAGACGAAAACTTTATTTTCAGTGAATGCTAAACTAATACATGCATACTATTACCGTACATAGAACTGACATAACCAATAAAAAGTAAAAAGAAAAAGAAAAGACATAACATAACCGAGAAGTCTCGCAATTCAAAAATAATTCTATAATGTAATAAAAGGAGAAGGATGAGTACTCTACAGTTTATTGGGTTCATAAAATATGTAAATACTATCTCCTACCATTGGCTGGGTCTTGTATAGTGATTGATAGGAGTGGCACCTTTTTTATTTGAAAATTTACCATTTTCATCTCTTTTTTGTCCTACTGCTTTTATTTGATTAGGTGTTAACGTAGGAGGATACACATGTCTGTTTTGATTGTTTGGAGGAGGATTGTTTGCACGAGGATTGTTTGCACGAGGATTGTTCGTATTGTTCGGCATAATATTATATTTCGTATGCAGGGTAAAATTTGGCAGTAGAAAATAATATTTATAAGAACGAAAATGATTTTAGTGGACATTATATAGTCGTCGTCTTAATCAAAATATATGATTATCTTAATCTAACATCTTTATGTAATTGATTGCGTGATTGTTTTTTGCAAATGAATATCCAAATAAATTATTTGATTTATTCTCATAACAGATACGGCGTGAAATAATTAACTTTAAAGGTAAATTTAATGTAGTTAAGCTGACAATTTTTCATAAATATAAATGCATTATGAGGTAATTTATCGAATTAGGCTTATCGTAATCATGGTCGTACAGTGTGTGTGTAACAGTTCTTTTTCGTTAATTGCGAATATGAAATGTGGCACAGTAATACAAAATTTATTTCGCGTAACGCGTTAAATTAAAACGAAACGTTACAACTTTATTTATATATATTATCGTCATATTACTTATTATTTATATTATGTATTATTTATATTACTTATATTATTATTATTTATATTATTTTCTTATGTATATGAGTTACAAATTAAGTGCTGCGGCTTTCCGGGAAGTTCTAAGATATTATTTTTATTTATTTAATTGTAATATTATATTATGCATTTTTGTATAAAAAGATAAGCTTTCCGTAATTAATAAAGAATAACTTGTATAACTTGTATTTTTTTTAATAATTAAAACCATTATATAGTATTTTGACGTAAGGAAAAAGGGTTTCCTTACACCAACCATTTCAAAATCTAATATTCTACTTGTATGATATGCTGATGGAGTTGTTTATGAACTTGTAGTAAGTTGCTATTATTATTAATATTACTACTAATACTATTATTAGCATCACCATCAATATCACTATTATTTTTATCAGTTTTATAAAATTTCCCTAATTTATTTTCAGCAAAGGTCAAAAGCTCTTTAATAGTTGGTCTCTTGGTTGGATCATATCCAAACACCTTTCCATAATTTCTGCATAATCATTAGGCATCCCTTGTAATATTGGGGTCGTAATCCTTCACATATATCTATCATCAAGCTATGATTATGAACAAATGGTGGATGGCCTGCAAATAATTCCCACATTAACATCCCAACACTATAGATATCAGATTCTTTTGTGTTTTTTGTATTAATTTTGCCTCTAAGTAGTTCGGATGCAACATATGATACAATTCCATAGATTTTATTTGATAATTTTTCTTCAACTGGTCCACATAATCCTAAATCTGTGATATAATTAAAGCTTTTTGTTTTCTTTGACTAATTTCAAAAAAATCAGCTTTTCTTTTTTCTTTGTTTTTATAATTAGGAATAGTTAAAAGAATCTTATTAAATATTTCACCAAAAATTTTTAATACGGATTCTTCTCTGTCTGACATTAATAATTTATAAAATGACATTTTGGCTTTTAATATTAATACAGTGCGAATCATCTATACTCAAAAGTTAAAATTTTTGGAATATTATGTGATCCACGCATTGGATTTTAAAAACCCCACTATTCAATTAGCTTTAAAAGGGGAGTCTATTAATCTAAAAAAAAAATTTTGTCTCAAATTTTCTTTTCATATTTGAAAGTTTATGCAACAATAACAATATTTTGAATCTCACGATCAAATTTGGTAATGATTTTCTTTTAATGCAATATGTTCGTTAAACTTTTTTGTTGTAAAGATCTTTTATTTATTAATAAAAAAAAAGGAAATAAATAAATCAAATGTATGTTGTAGAAAATATTCTATGAAAAAAAAGTTGTTACACGAAATTAGTCTCAATTTCTTAAGTGTTATAACAAAATTCGGAATTTTCAAAAATGCTAAGGTTCAGCCAATTTTCAGTTTAAAAAAAAAACCAGCCGATAAGTTTTGAAGCTTGAGTCATATACAATAAAACTCATCGGTTAAATTTTTTAAAATGATATAATTTTTTTTTGTTTTAGTATTTTGAAGTTGACCAATAGTTACTATAAGCAATTAATCTGCACCGTATAAAATTTTTCTTATTACTATTATTATTATAATTGTGTCCCGTCTATCCGTTGAGACTATATCAAGCAACCGTTACATTGAGAAGAATTTTATTATGATGATGATTATTATATTAAACCTCAATCTGTTTTATCCATTAAATTGTGATACACTCATTGAGATTCACTGTATTTAATATGACATTAAAAAAAATCAAGAATCCGGTTTGGTTCGAATTAATTCGATTCGTTCGGAGTCTTAATTTTTTGAACTAATAATAAAAAATAAAATATAATCATATTTAAATACAATAATATTTTATTATTATATTAATATTAAATATTCAGAATTCATGAATGATACATATTTGTTACATACTACCTACATCCTGAATATAAAGGTTACTTAAGTTATTTAATATTATTTAATTTATAATTTTTATAATTTTAAATGATTATATTAATTAAAAATAGGCATTGGTATTAATAAACAATATTTTCCGAAAATTTTAATGCATGCTGGAAGTACTTGGAAAGATTTAGGACATAATCAAGATTCATGTAAAGATCTATATGCTCAATTACGTAAGTATCAACTTCATTTAAAGCCATATGATACACCTTTCTTGGATAACTTATTCCTGGTGGATGACATGCAATAATCAAACAGAAAACCTCAAGAAGCTTGCTTTAAAAAATTTTGCAGTCACGCCTAGCTCTGCTTGCTATGAGTGTATATTTTCTTCATTGGGTTGGTTTTACGGCAAGCACTGTCAAAATTATCACTAGAAAAATTAGTAGCAATTGCTAAAATCCACAGATATTATATTAAGAGCTTGAATTTGTGGCTCAGGATAAAATTGAAAATGATGCTAGGAGTCTGATAAATGCTGCATATAATACTCTAGAAGAAGATGATGATGAAAATAATAATTTGTTTCTAAAATTACTTCATGAAAATAATGATGATTCTGAACCTAGGGATGACATTGAATTAGAGTTGGAAAGAATTCTTTTGCATAAACAATAATGGTTATGTTACACCAAATCAAGAGGAGAATACAAACAGTGAAGAAACTGAAGAAATTGAAGATTATGACCCAGCACAATTAGCTTCTAATTACCTAAGTGATTAGAATAATTGAATGTTTATATATTTAGTAAATAGTCAAAATTTTTTCAATTTTGCAATTTAAATAAGTTTAAATAAATAAAATTTATAAAATTTATAGCAGTCAATGATGGCAGTGGTAATTACTTGTATTGGTAGTATTGTTTGAAAGTAATGATCATTTGTAACTATAATGGTAATAATTATTTACACAGTTTTCTATGATTGTATCTACCAGAGTAGTTATCCTTCTTGTGATAATATATCAACTGTTCACGGCAGCCGTAATTATTTGCGGTAAATGGTAGCCATCAATAGCTATTTATGGCAATGGTAGCTACCAGCCCAATCATTTACGGCAAGTGTCTTTAAGCTAGTTCTTAAATGGCGCAATCTAATCAATTACAATAGTGACAAATCAGGAACTTCCGATGCCAATTTCTCTGATGAAGAAAATATAATTATTTCTTCTCGTCCATTTGGTAAAACAACATAACCTGATGGAAAATATTAATCAAATAAACAAAAATGATAATCACCTAATATTATTTTATCATCTTTCTCCTGTAATTATAATAAGATATAGATCTTCTATTATATGTCGGTGTAACACGATTATTTGAAGGTTAATTGATGCCATGTGAATGTAGTGTCATCACAATAAGTTAAATGGCGAAAATTTTATAAAATCCTTGTGATCTTGGTAAAATTTAGTAATTCCCTGGAAACACAAGCGCCTGAAACTTTAGTTTTTGCATCACCAATTATTATTTTTTTTTTTTCGTTTTTTTTAATTTTTTTTTTAAATAAAACCTAACAAACATTATTCTCAAAGAAATTAATTCAATTAGTTTCAAAGGGTTTTAGTTAATTCGGAAGAGTAAGCATTTAAGTAATATCGATTATATAATTCAATAAAATAATTGAAAGGTAATTGGTTGGAAAGTGATTGGTTTAATGAACAAATTATTTTATTTTACCTATTTATTTATTTATTTATTTATTTATTTATATATTTATATATTGTTAGAGATTTTTATAATTCAAAAGGATGTCACCACGAACAAGTTCACCGCCACCTTTCTATGAAATGTGTGATGATACAACAACTGGACCATCATTCAATTTTAATAATAATAACAATAATAATAATAATAATAATAAGTTAACATCACAAAATTATTTTTCATACTCACCATCATATTCATCTTCATCTTCAATTCCACCTTCACCTTCGCCTACACCTACATCTACGCCATCTACCAAGAACATCAATATTACATGTATCAATAATCGTAATATTCGTAGAAATACCAATAATGGTGCTAACCCTAACGATAATAGCGGAAGCCTTAATGCATTACTTCCTCGGTCATTTAAGATACCAAAAACTGTATTTTCATCAGCAGTAGTACAATTTTTTTCATTAATGATGATATATTCATTTTGTATAACAGCTCTTTGGATGGTATTTTGTACATCATATTTGCTTACATTCTATGATGATTCACGTAGAATATTTTGTACTTCACGAGTTTGGGCAAGAGTGAAGAATGGAGTCAGAGAAAGAATAGCAATGTTTGGAGAGGATTGGGAAGATTTCTTTCAAAAATACTTTGATCAATGGGATGGTGTCGATGGCAATAAAAATGGTCATCTTGGAGGTGGATTGAATAATAATAATAATGGCGGTGATAATAATAATAATAGTAACAATAACGATGAAGATACAGATTGGGAAGACTGGCTAAAAAGTAGAATGTTTAAATTTGTGACAGCAGTTGCAGGTCCAAATATTGCTGATAAATTTAAACAATCGGCTTCAACTTGTCAATCTCAGCAACACAAAAAATAATGTTACTCACAATAACGTACCAATAATGTTAATCAACGAATAATAGGCAAAGTGCATAACTAAAAATAAAAATTAAAGATTTATTCTTTCATTGTTTATATCCATTTATTTTTATTTATATATACATACATATGACATATATATATATACATATTTATTAACCATTAACATATTTTATTTTTAATATTAAATAAATATATAAATAATTAGAGTGAACTTAGTTTCACGAAAGACATTTGAATTTCTCCCCTTCTTTATCTTGAATTTACTTTTTTTTAAAAATAAATAATTGATTCGCCAAGTTATGGCCCTATTCTTCAAACAATTTGCCGAAATTGGTTCAACCAAAAGTTGCCGTGCATCCGATCAAAGAATAGATCAATGTGGCATGGTTTACTTTCGCTTGATGCTTTCCTCGTATTTTTTTTTTATTTTTTTTTTTTTTAGAAATAACTGACCTGAAAGTTCGACATTATGATAATTAATGAATTATCAAAAATACCCATAATTAACATAATTCTATCTAAAAAATTTCTCAAATACTAGAAAACAACATTCTTCAAGATTTCCCTAAAGGGAGTAAAAATTCCACGGATTTAATAGTTTTTGTTGAACTTTCATTTGTAGAGAAAATAATAATAAATAATAATAATGGACAATCAATTATCAGTTTGTAAATCTTTGCTATTGTATGGAAATTAGAAAAATTGGCAACTATAGAGAAATCATTTAAAATTAAGAATGCTTTGAAGCGCATATTTCTGAGAGAGGAAGAATCGATCGACATGTTTATTTGATTAATATTAATTGGTTAATAGTTATATCATACGGACACGTGTCAAATCATTCAAATATTTCATCTATCATTGAAGTAGTGGTATTAGTATGATAGAAACATTTATCGAATGTAGATAAGAGATAATTTTATAAATACTAGTTCAGTTAAGTTCAATATTGTAATGTTTATTGATAATTTGGAATTGGAGAATTTGGGAATGATGACTCTTTATCTATACAAAATGATAAATTAGCAATGGAATCATTTGTTCATTAATATTTTACAGTAATTTTAACAACCATAATAACAGCAATATTGTTAGGTAATAATAATATAAACGATAATTAAATAAAAGTGTATTCTAGAATATTATTATTGAGTCACTACAGTGGATTTGTATTATTATTTCTAAGATATTTATTATTTTATATTCAATAAAATTTTTTAACAATAATCACTAATAAATCAATCTATCTATCTTTCAATTGATTAGGGAAGAAATAACAACACACAAAAAACATTATTTTATTTGCCTCATGATGACAATAAGAATAAAAATATCATTACTTATATTTTGTTAACGTCAAGTTCTGAAATTCTGAGAACAGTATAAGTTTGTTTATGTGTAATTCGTTTTCTATGACGGTTTCTACGCTTTTTCTTAAATTTTTCCAGAAATGGGCCCAATGGTTTCTCAACCACGACTGCTTTAATATTATAAAATGCATTTGATATCAAAGGTTTACCATATACTGTGAAATCTTTTGATCCCAACTCCACCACCCTATTCAATCTTATTTCATCTCCGATATTCAAATCCCTTATTCTGTGACAAATCACCAAATCATTCTTGGTTATCAGAAACTTTTGTGATTTAATCTCCACAACTGCATAATATTTCAACTGATCTCTTAATTTTCTCAATGATTCTATTGTCAATTCTGAATACCCTTTCACACCCATACCACTATTCTTCTTATTCTTATCATCACTTTTTAATTTAGTTGTTGATAAAGTTGAATTATTTGTTGAAAATTTAAAATTAATCAAATTTTTACATTGTTTATCTATAATATATATATATATATATATATACACATATTGTAAACGTTATGAATATAAATAAATAAAATAAAATATCATTATTATAATCATTACCTTGATTAAATTTCCTGAATATAAATTTCCTTGATATTGATATTTGATTAAACAAAAATGAATTGGAAAAAATAGAATTAAAATATTTCATATTTTTATAAAAAAAAATAGATCAGCATAATGATAATCATTTATTTATACGAGAAAGAAAAGAAAAACAAAAAAGAGTGAATATATTAAACACCATAAATAATCATCTAAAATTATAAAAATATTAATTTATAACAATTAATTAGCGAGGACACTAAAACATCATCCGATTCATTTCCTAACACTTTGTTCAAGCCTGTCAATGCTCTTCCGAAATTTCACACCCATGATAACACAATACTTAATTAGTTTCTTTGCTTTTGTCTTTGGATGGATTCCTCCTTCTCAATCTAGTTTTTCTGATGCTTTATTGGAATCATTCAATGCCACTTTTTGAAATAATAAAGAATCCCTCTTGTAACATATAATAGCATTTTATCACCAAATTTTTTGATACCAAAGATTTTATGATTTAATTGATAGTTCTGCATTCGCTTGCATGATAACAATCTCTGAGTGATTATTTCCTTGTTTAAAATATTCAACACAAATTTCGTGTGAATCGAGTGCCAATGTATTATTTGATTCTATTTTCAACGCTTTACATAAATCATTGATTGCATAATTTTTTCAGATATAAAGCGTATATATCATTTGTCTGGTTGAAGATCAAGAACAAAGTCCAATCTTTGAGTGCTTTTGGTTTCTCGCCATGACTTAGTAAAATTTCAGCCCAATCACATCTATCTGTATATGCTGTGTATATGTTCTAAAGCTTTTAATACATATTCAACCCAGTTAATACAAATCAATGTGACTCTTAATTTTTAGGTTTGGGTTTAGAGTTTAGGGAATTCAAGGTCATGACATTAACCTGAACCCCGCAATCTGAAAACCATTAAAATGAATGAATTTTAAAACACACAAATTTACCCAATGTTGTTATTAAAGATGGGAACCACAATTAGCTGCAATTCAATTTTTACATGCCGCAATTAAGTGAGAAGCCATCTTTAGTCATTATTAATACAAATATGTGACCGATAATTAATAAATAGATGGATGGATGAGTACTAATAGTAATTCATTAATAATGAATGTTCAGATGGTTTTCTTCTGGTAGCAGAAAAGGAAATAACCAATTGAAGCAAAAGAAAAAATCTAACTTTAAATTTATTATAAAAAAACCCGTGCTAATCTGAATAAAACTTTCCACGCAAATGCTTTCAGTTTGACTTGGTTATGTGATTTTTTGAATTGATTGCTTTTAATAATTGTCCATTTTTTCATCAAGATAGACAATATTATTTTTATAACCAGCATTTTTTAATATATTCCAATTGCTTCTGTCACTACCACCGTGTTCTTTTTTTGATTTAGCTGTTTTTTTAGCAAATCGATCAGCAATTGAATCCAATAAATTGACTTTATCACTATCATCAGCATTTTCTAATAACTCGAATTTTTTCTGCCACTACTGCCATGTTCTTTT